ATCAGTAGAGTGGTTGTCAGGTTCGTTGAATATCCACTGTCGAGTTGATCCACTCGAGGGATGCAAGAACTTATTCGAGCATATTATCAGTAATGTTTGACATTAACACAACGCTCATTTTAGATTCTTGATTTGTGTGATGCATTGTCTTTTACGATCGAAAGTCGTCGCAGAATACGTAAATCTTGTTATAGCCTCAAAAGATACATTCTCAGATGGCAAGGTAAGTGTGCGATGCAGCAATGTATTTACGAAATATTCTGCCTTCTAATTTTGTTTCTCAGATAAAATTACGTTCGTTTCATTGGAAGAATGTTCAGCAATACTCATACATCTAATCATATCACAATTTCCACCTATGAATTCGAACATCCTTTTACACAGAAACTTAATTGCATTCATTTGTTTTTTAAGGAAAAAACTTGATACGGAATGAGTTTTACGTTGATTATTTGAAGTTCATTCAAAAATTTATGGTTGTAGAAATGGGTGTGTGAATGTGTATTTCAGCTGACGGAATTGAACCAACAAGAGTTTTTATGGATAAGGACTTGGCGTGGATAAGTTTTTGTCGAATTATACCGGGTACAGTTGATCGTCGAACCACATCCGAAAGTGCAGCTGATTCAGGCGCTAGTGATTCTGGCTCAGGTGAATGTTATGATCACTCGGTAAATGTAACGGAGAATTTCACTGATCTGAAATTTGCGAATCAAGTGAATTATAAGTGCATAAATGATATGTATATGCAGTTTAATGAATGCTGTATCAATTAAAGGTGTTGGTTCGAATGTATCACAATCGTCATTACCAACATTCACTCCTCCACCAAGCCCCGGTATTCTCTTGACAACGCCATCTCAAGTTGTCAGCAACATCAGCTCTACTAATGGTAGACTGACTAGGTATGTGCTGTATCCGTTTCATATAGTAAGAGATAGTTGAGCTAGTACTTGTCATCATTGTTTTGTAAATCGTTTGTGAAAAAGCAATAGCGCTGACAAGGATAAATGATTTCTGATCGCGTAATCACATAATAACAAAAATAATGATAATAATAAAACGTTCAGTCATACGCCACCAACAGCCCTGTGTTTGGATGGAAGTGCGTCATCAGCATTATGCGGCGTAGATGCGTCCTCGTCGTCGTTAAGCTCGTTGCCAATCGTCGATTCATTAACGAGATCTCGATCGCATGAATCAAGTCTGCAACACGGTCTGAGTACCGGTGCTCTCACGGTTCATTCGAATAATAACCCTATGATGACAACGCAAGTTTATTTATTGTTTTCATTATCATAAGTTTCAGCTATTATTATCATGATACACCAGGATATTATCAATGAATTATTTGACTGATTTCTAACGAAGATATGTGCCTCAATTTCAGATCTCGTTCCATAAATGATTGCTTATCAGTGGCGAATAATTCATCAACACTCAATCCTCCGTCTCCAGCATCTGCACGCACAACGCGTTTCAGTAGGTTATTCGGATTATTCAGTACGTATTCGCGAGAATATTCTGAGGATGAATTGCAGTGATGATGTATGCAGTGGAGGAAAAACTTGTACCATATTAAAGTTTTAAAACAAGTTTTATCTGAAATTTAATGTGGTTCAGCTAGTCGATCGTTGATTATCTCATTGATAATTGTCGCTTCACTTATAAATATTAAGAATTTCTAAAAATTGATTGATAATGTTTTCATGTTTNTAGTGAATATGAAAAATGTAAATCTTGCAAGTGAGTTTTCAGTTGTTGAATTTTTAAATTGGCGTTTTCCTTTGCATATTCTCACATTCATTATCTTCTCCGCATTCACGTTGTTCGGTCACCGAACATTCTCGACGGGAAAGAATGAATCAAATGCAGTAGCGCAAAATGTTTTGCCATGATCAAACATTAGGTGAGACTAGAATTGAAGTTTTCTTCAATTCAATCCGGTTTAATGTCGTCTCATAGAAGCGTCACTTGTTAACTGCGAAATGCTGATTGTTAGATTGTTTATTGTTGTTTTCCATTTAGCTGGTACAACTTGCTCGTTTTTTCATCTTTTTACTCTTATTAAAATTGTGCATTTATAAAAGTTTTCACATGAACTCATGAGTGTTTGTCCCTAGGTGGAAGGTTCATCCACAGTGTAAGGCAAATATTGGTGATTCGTGCGGGTTGACACCAGCTCATTTGAAAGAAGTGTTGAAGGAGATGTTCCTCAAAGATTCTAGCCAGGTTTGTTTTATTGAACTGAAATTGTTTCTTTATTGATTCAGTCTCTTTCAGAATGTTTCGCCCAAATAGTCCGAAGCAGATAGCTTGAATTTCCCTTCTTGAAATTAAATGCATAGCGATCACACAGTGCCAAATGTCGAGATATATCTATCCAATTAACTTGAGCAAACGCATTTTATCAAAATGTAACTTTTATTGAGCAAACGCATCGATTCGCTTCAGGAAAAAGTCCTCATCCGATTGTAATGTCTATCTTTGTATTTGACGTAATTGGTAAACACATCAATTCGTATTCGTTATTTTGTGTGGAATAATCTTAAAAGTAAAATTGAATGCAGGATGGATGGACTCCATCAATCCAAGCATCGACATCCCAACAAACGTTTGTGTTCGATTCAGTTGATAGTTCATCGAGTACAAACAGCTCTGCGCCATCAACACCCGCATTCCCAGCTATCCATTCAAGTCGGTATTTTTTGAGTTGTTTCATTGTGCTGCACTTAAATAACCAATCCATCCTTTGATATTTGCAACTCATTGTTGTGACCGATTTTCGTTGACATGAAAACAGGTGTGTTTTCACTTCAGTGGTTATTGTATGATATTATTTTGATATTGTATGATATCCGGTGATTATTGCATGATACTTACTGGTAACGTTTCCAGAGTCATATCTTAGAGAATACTTGTTATCATGTTCGTCACTTTCATACAGTTGAGACAAGATAAGAACAAGCATGAACTGCTGCTGGGTAACGTAGAGCAACGATGTCATACATATGTTATTTTCAGCAACAATTTCAAGTGCAACAAGTCCTTTTCTAATGCCAACCGCAACGACTGGCACCTTCAGAAACAATTTCGACTTTCCAGAGGCGGTGCCTGAGGTGCCTGATATTGTTGTCGATACTGGACAGAGGTAGGGACTTGACTGATTCTCTTGACTGACACTTTGTGTGTGAAGGGTGTAATCAGTGATGTTGTTGCAGTGATGCTCAACAACGATTGATCTCATCGCAAGGATCAGACTGTACGGTACAGTCGGGATGTACTGGAGGACCAGGTAGTTCTGATGGTACGCTTGTGATTGATTCAGTCGGTAGTGCACAAACAAATCCCAACGATATGCAGGTTGGAATGAAAAATTTTGAATTTCCATTTTATACTTCATATTTATCCTAAGTTTAACAATTTAGTAAACGTTTTATTACGATTTTTGTTTTTTGGTATTTTCCCCGTGAAAAATATTCACTATGAAAAAATAAGCGTACCATGAGACAGCCGGTTGATATAATAGTGTCATTTCTACTGAGTCTAGTAAAAATCGAATTTGATCGAGAAGAGATGAAAATAATTTTTGATATTGAGGACGAGTTCGGTAACGATCAGCTACCAGTAACAAGCAGCTGTACATTGAATCGTGATCGGTGGAGTAATGGCACGATTCGAATGCCGAATAGTTGGAATGATGTTACGATACCGTTCAATCAAATCGAATTCAAAAAACAAAGTCTCATTGGTCGAGGACGTTTCGCTGAGGTAAGCACTGCACTCGTCGCGACATTCTTTATTTTGCATATGACATTCTTTATTTTCTCCATTTACGTTGCAGTCTTGCGATAATAGTTCTATCATATTTTAGGTGCATAAAGCGAATTGGTATGGTGATGTTGCTGTAAAATTACTCAACATGGATCACGTCGATGAAGAGAGACAATTGGAGGCCTTTAAGGTTCTGATTCATTTAATTTTCTTTTTTTTCAATTTTACAGTTCGTCGAATACTTATTGATTTCATTTCTGACTTCACAGTTGTGCGTTTCACGTAGATTTCATTTTGATACCACAACGTTTTCCGTTAGTGTTTTGTTAATTTATAATATCAAATTAAGGCAGAAGTTGCATCATTCAAGAACACGCGACACGACAACATTGTATTGTTTATGGGCTATTGCATGGACCAACATAAGCTCGGTATTGTTATGTATTACTGCAAAGGAAAACCCTTACATCAATTATTGCATGATACACCGGAAAAATTTGATTTCTCGCAGGTAGTTCACCTCGCCACTCAAACTTGCCAGGTAATTTCAATTTCATCTTTTTCAAACTAGACTGAGTGATGGATAATTGTTATGCTGACCCTAGACATACATCATGATTAGCAAAAAGTCTAAATCAATCAAACCTAGCAGTTGAAAATGAAATGATCCAGATTTATTGCTTCAAGCATTCGTGAAGTGACAGATCTGTCCTTCAAAGTCTTATGTAAGTATTTTAGGGTATGTCTTATCTACATACCAAAAAAATCATCCATAAAGATTTGCGAACGAAGAATATTTTCATTGAAAATCGCAATCGAGTTGTAATCACTGATTTTGGACTGTTCAGTATGAAGCGACTTGCTCAACCATATCGGTATATTTCATTTTATTGTTTTTTGCATGCTTTTCAATCTCGCCCTAATTTCTAAATTGGCCATTTCATTTCATGTTGTCGCGAATTCATCCAGCTTAGTTGTTGACTACATTTCATGTCTGATCTCATTTTTCATACATTTCATCAAGCTTTTTTAAACTTTAACTGCCTATGTCATGATATCGGACTATGTTGAATGCTTGAATGGATCATCTCTGCAGATTACTTTGCAACAACGAAACATAATCTGATAATTTCAGTGATAACACATTAATTGTTCCGAATCATTGGCTGAGTTACCTGTCACCCGAACTTATCAGACAGCTTTCTTCTGAACTCACTCAATTGCCATTTTCGGAAGCAAGTGATAGTTATGCGTTTGGGTTGGTATTCTTTTCCTTTTTCAATTCTCTGCTTAGAGCATATTTTTTTCTTCGAGCGAAATTTTTAGTTAAGCGAGATTGATTATGGTAAACGATGTCGAGTAATTACACGATGAATGAAAATGGAAATTTGGTTGAATTTGCAACGCGAAAGTTGTTTTCGATGGATTTTTTCAGTTATTTCCTCGTTCAGTACAAGCAAGCGACAATTGTTTTATGCAATTTGAATTATCCTTTTTGCTGTGATTTGATCAGTTTGATATGAATGCATTATTACAGAACGATTTGGTTCGAGTTGATGACATATGGTTTCCCGTTTGAACACGTTCATCCAGATGTAGTGATTTGGCAAGTGGGATGTGGTATGAAGGGACCGTTGAACAATGTCAACAATATTAGAGATGTCAAGGTGATCACAATTAATGAATTGCTGATTGACTTGGTCAATGAGTTACGCATAGAAAACCGGTTATACTGGNTTATCTTGTTGTTTTTACAATATTTCAACCGTTGCTGAATTAATGACGACTTTGAAGATCAATTCAATCGTTTTTCAAAGATTTCAGTTATTCCAAGAGATCCTTGTACAATGTTGGGCGTACACTCCAGAAGATCGACCATCATTTCGTGAGGTGTTGGACATGTTGGAAAGGCTGCCGAAGAAACGTCTCAATCGGAGTCCGTCGTTTCCAATATCACGAAGCTATGAGTCCATGTTTTAGAAGTAATAGTCAGTCGCAGTACTCTTTCATTCACTAACAAAATTCTTCATCAACTAATACGCTGTAAATTAATCTATTTTTGATAACGCAATACTGATTGTAAGCGAACTCAGTTGTGAAATGCACCGTTCAAAGTTATTCTTTTACTGGAATATTTTTGAATTGTATATCTTGATCGCTGTGATAGACTAATTGTTATGCTAGCGGGACTTCATCATTACCGATTGATGATGAACTGGAACCTGTACTATTGAATCGAGCGAAATTTGAAAGGAATCTCTTTCCATCAAGAAATCCCACTCACTTCATTTCTGTCTTTTTGTTTTTATTTATAGTAGTCGATACGTGTGAATTGTGTTCTTTTTT